TTAACCAGTGCGCCACTCGGCCAGCCTGAGAAATCTTTTCTTAAATTCAGTAGAAGTTTTGGAAGATGAAGTCAAGGGAATCTTCCACAAGTTAGAATCAGAAGTTGAAGAAATAGAAAATATAAGAAAATTAGATGATCAATCTAACAGAGCCAAAAACCAATGTCCAGGAGTTCCAAAAAGAGGAGATATTAAAATGTATGGCATCAAAATATTTTAACATAATAATATATGAAAATTTCTCTAAACTAAAGAAAACAAACCTCCAGATTGAACAGAGCCCACCCAGCACAAAGTACTAAAAATGCTCGTTCCAAGGTCCAACACTATAAAATTTCAAATTGCCAGGGGAAAAAAAATTATTATAAAACCTTTCAGAAACAAAAGAAACAAATCATAGACCAAGTACTAGGAATTAGATGGCATAGGGCTTTACAATTGTGATATTAGACTCTTGGAGACAGTGGAGTAGCTCCTTAAAAATCCTGAATGAAATTTAATCACAACATAGATTTTTATACCTAGCCAAACTATCAAGTGTATTCATAGAATAATAGCATTTTAAGGCATACAGATACTTTAAAAAATGTATTATTTATGTACCCTTTCTTATGAAAGTTACCTGGTAAGTATACTTTCACCAAAAAAAGGAGAGTAAACATAAAAGCAGACTGACTTACAACCCAGAAAGCAGCGAAGTCTAATAGGAGCATGGGTAAGTCTTAATATAGAAATCACCCAGGCCAGACATAAGACACCAAGAAAGATATATTTTTTACAGGAAAAAATTTTATTAAAGGAACTGATCATTTATCTGATGTGTGCCATTATTTGGAAAAATATTACTGATGGGTATTTGACAGATCTGTTTGATCATTTGGGGCAAAATGTCAGTTACCTAGAAAAATAAACTTTTAAAAACTAGGCAGTTAATTCAGGAAATAATAAAATATTGTACAAGACAATTTAAGCAAAATAGTACTTGTCTTGGTAGTTAACAATATTTCTATAGTCATAATGTGAATGGACTACTAACTAATGATTTAATCAAAATTGATACATGGGAGAATGATGTGGGTATTATGGGTGGGTGATAGGAGATGTAAATCATTCCTTTTTAACATAGGGAGTCAACAGATAATGTCTAATACTGCAAAATCAAGAAGTAGCATTAGGGCCTGCTGAGTGACACGTTGGTTAGGAGTTGGCTTGGGATGCCAGCTCTGAGCAGCAGGGTCCCGGTTAAGATCCCACATTAGGGCCAGTGACACTGCACCCTCTACAGCTAAGATGCTGAACAACAGCTCAACCTGGAGCTGGGCTGCTGTGAGTTACCGGCAATGGTGTAGGCTGCAGTGGGGCTGCAGTGGTCTGCCGTAAGCTACCATGAGTGGCTGGCAGCGGGTGTGAGCTGCTGTGAGCGGCCTTCCAGTGACCAGCGACTGATCTGCCTCATCTGGGACGAGCGCAATGATGGTGCCAACTTGGGCCAGTGAAGCAACGTCCTCCACAACTAGACCGAAGAACAAAAGGACAGCAACTTGTCTGTTCCCCTTCCCCAATTCCCCAACAAAATCTTAAAAAAAAAGTAGCATTATAAACATGTCATTAAAAAATATGAAGATAAATATCAGAAGAGTGTATGGTGTGTGCCTGTGAGTATTAGGCTTGGAGGTGGGTGAGGCGTAGAGCATGGACACTGCCCTTCTTTGTTATGAGCAATTGAATGCTATTTGACTTAAATTACTTTGATAACAAAATGTGAATAATACTAAAAATGAAGTTACATGTGTCCATGATTAGGAAAAATACTTCCTACAGTATAGATTATAAATGATCAGTAATGAATCCCATCCTTGGTACTATTCTGTTAGTTGTTCCGGTGGCTTGACTATGTCTTTTGGTAATGTGTAAAGCTATCTGGACTTGCCTTCGCCCAGTTGGCCAAAGATGCCCACATCAAACTGCACTGTAAACATTGCAGGTTGATTGTGTAGTTTAAGAATAATGCACAATTGGCCTCTGTTGGTCCTCCGTCCCTGAGCCACTACATACAGCCAACGAAACAGCCCTGACCTAGTTGGGTGAGGCAAAGGGTTATCCTGCCAGTGGGAGCGTGGCATTTCTGGCAAGAGATTCTTCTTCTAACTGTTGGAGTTGGTGCCATGGCAGAGTTTCCTGACTCAAGGAGGAAGTGTTGAGCCCTGGTCCAGCTGGTTAGCTATTTGTTGATTTTTATTACCTGCACCAATAAGCTCTTTTTCTGGTACAGATAATCGAAAGCAGGTAGTAATTTTCCACCTGCCTAACAAAATGCTTTTTGCGTTTTGAAATTATAGTAAAGCTTCATTCAGTTTTCACCAAAATAGTGCCTTTTGGGAGAATTAAATCAAGAACTCTTTAGTCCTCAATGATAACCATCGACCCTTAGGCAGGTAACTTTTTCTACGTATCTCTTTGCTATTCTTGAAAGATAGAGAAAAAAACCAGTAATAATTAATGATACTTGCTGTCCTTTTATTCAGCTCTTACTATGTGGTAAGCACTCTGCTAAGTACTCATCATCTAACTTAATGTTCACAGTAGTTTTAGGAGCTTGCTATAGTTACCACTCCCATTTTATATTGAAGAAACTGAATAACTTCTCCAAGGTCACAGAGTTGGAGACTGCCAGAGCTGTGTGTGAAACCCTGATTTGTGTTGACTCTTGGGCCCGTGTTCTTTACCTCCGTTTGACTTATCTTCCAGTGAAGCCTCTGAGTTTTTATTATATGACATTAAGAAAGCAGCTGATTTATACTTAAAACCTAATTATCAATGTAAGGTTCCATATGTTGTTGATAAATAGTGCTTATAAAAATTGTTGCATTTTTTTAAAGAAAGTTTAGAATTTTGTACATTTTCTATTTCTGTTTTTTGTATCCTCTTAATTCAAAATTCTGGAGTCATCTTTGATGTCTCCTGATAGCTCTCCTTTCATTTTTGTACACTCACCATGTTTTCGTTATATTTCTGTTTTAATAATATGTCTCTACTCCTCATGTCTGGAATATTTCAGCCATCTTTCTGTGGACTCTCTATATTGCCAGTCGCTGCCATCTTAAATCAATCATGCACATTGATCCAGTTTTTTTAAGCTCAGCTTCTCTTGTATTGCATACTAAACCACTACTATATATAAGAAAAATAACAGTTTTATTAATTTAGAATTCAAGACCTTACATAATATGCTCTAATCTACAGGATCATTCCATGAGTTTATGCGCCTTTACCTTCTTTCCCATGTTAATATATTTAATCTGTCCTGTTAAAGGACAGATCTTCCCTAATATGCATTTTTTTGTGTGTGTGCTTTGTATTTTAATAGTCTTTTTGTGTATGCATGTCTCATTTACCCAACTGAATTGTTAACTCCTGGATGTAGAGATGGAAACTCTCGGAGTCCAGCATAATTTTAAGTAGTGTCTTGCATATTACACAGTGTATAAAAAAATAATGAATTCATTTTTAACGTTTTAAAGTCAACATACAATTTCAATTCTATACTTCTCTACTTTTGCTAATTTCACAAATGTTAGACAAATAAAACTTAATAGATTTTTCTATTGTGATTTTTTCATATCTTGAATTATATTTAATCATGAGATGAAATATATTGGTATAACTTTAACAGCTTAAACTATTTTAAAGAAACAGATTTGATTAATATTCTAATCTGAAAGATGTAGAAAATCTATTCTGAATGAAAGTGACGTACTCGTTATTACATAGCTTTTTAAACATAAAACAATACTGAGGACTTGTAATAAGTTGTTTCATTGTATTGTTGGTAATATATAGTTTTGATGGGGATAAACTGAATATTTATAATGCAATAAGTGTAAAACATGAGCTATGTAGTTTTTCTTGCCTGATGTATTACATGTAGTTGGAAATTGTTCTGAATATTGAGTAATGACATGAGGAAATTTCAAATGTACTTAAATACTAACTTTAAAACAGTTTATTTAGACATGATTTTGTTTTTTAAAAGGGGTTTGTATTTTTTGTATTACAATTGCTTCTTGCTTCATGCTGAATTTCAAAATGTTTCTACCCTTTCCTTTCCTTTTTTTTGTTTTTCTTGTTTTAATAATCCGAATAATTATCTCTTTTTAAAATTTTTATAGATGTTCTATAACAAATAAATATTTTTACTTTAATGTATAAATTATTTAAAACTTGTTCTATGTAAGGTATTTTTGCTTTGAAATATTTACATTTCAGTAAAATAAGGATGATTTCATCCTGAGACTAAAAAATTAACCAACATAAATTTTCATGCATTTTAGATGTTCATATTTATTAATCTGAGAATGTTTTGTTGTCTTTTAAAATACAATTTTAATTTATTCTTATTTTAAAAAGCTCAGAAGTCTTATATACTCTAAATGCTTAAAGGCTCTCATGCTGTATTTTTTTTTCTAAATTATTTTTTCCAAATAATGTTGAGAATTATCATGATACTTTCTTTTACACCTCATATTTTTCTGAAAGACATCAGAAATTATTTTACCATTTAATTTGGTTTTTAAAATATCCAAATAAATATACCTTTCAGAAAAGAGCCATATATTTGATGTAAATCACTACATATGTCTGATCTAATTTCACAAACAAAAATGTTACATTTTAAAAGCAGTGATATTTTAACTTCATATTTTTTCAAGGGACTGAGCCTTACAATGAAAGAGCAGATTATCCATTTTGACTAAAATGATTAAAATTATTTAATCGTCTCACTTTAAACATTAGACTTCATCCTACGATCCAAAAAAACCTCTCTAATGTGCATTTTTGGCTTTGTTAATTCCCTTTGTCATAAAGTGGAAGCTAGCCTAAATTTTCTAATAATTTTTATCACATGAAAATTCACGGCCGAAACAGAAATGAGACAATTTTGAAGTCAAGTATACGTATTTTACATGGATGCTTTTCTCCCCCTCTTCCCTCTACCTAAGGAAATAGAGAAATTGACATTAGAACTGAGCAAAAGCAAGCAGCTTTTGGAACAGGAACGGCAGAAGGCAGCCCGGGCCAGAGAGGAGTGCCTGAAACTGACAGAACTGCTGGGCGAATCCGAGCACCAACTGCACCTCACCAGGTACTCCCTAATCCCTTTATGCACCGTAGCACCAATTTCATTCCGCTGATTTTTGCCACAGGCTTCCAAACAGTTGCTAGAGTTCTTCTTAGTCATTCACTTCACACACAGCTTTCAGGCATATTAGGAAAAGTGGAGATGTGGCAAGCAAAACACCCAGACATGTGAATGATAAGTGTGGCAGGGAATTACTGGTGTATTACAAAACCTTTCATCTATAATGCTCAAATATTTAGGTGATTCTCTAGCAATACAAGCAAAATGACATCTTTCTCCTACCACCGCCGCTACCTCTCTTGTTAATTATATGTCTAATAAAAATGTGGAACTGAAGGATCTGAATAGTATATTTAGGAAAATAATCAGATACTGTCAGTGGTGAAAGAGCCAAAGTAAAAGACATCCTGAGACTCAAATTGAGATGGAACTGATACAAAATAAGGCATCTGAGTCCTAAGGAGGTATAAAATTTAGAGATGAAATTGATTGGCACTGTTCATGTTTAAACTATAATGCTTACACCACCATGCTTTCAAATTACATTGTTTCTGCCATGAGATATTGTGATAATGATCATCATTGTCATAAAACTTTAGTAAACATATAACTCAGCCCTAAATTACAATAAAATATTTTAGGTAGCAAACATTGTATAATTTGCTATGTTGAAAACACACACACATACACGTAAATACACACAGAAAAAAAGCAAACTGAGATGATAGGTATTTCACATGGCCATACGAAGTGGTTTCTTCTCACTTTCAGTTTTAGTACAATTTTTCAATTTTCAGGTCAAGTCTTTGGGTTTGTTCAATTTTGGGAGGTTTTCAGCTTTTAAAGAGAACTTTGTCTAAATACACATGTAAATTTATGATATTTGGTTTGGTTCATAATTTAGAAAAACGCTGATCTTCTAATCATAGTAATATGTTGAATTTAAACTATGAAAGGGGACGATCCCTTTTACGTTAAATATGACAGTGTAATTCTGAGCACGGTATGATAACAGATGGAGAAAAACACCACTTGAACAGCCTGCATTCGGAGAAAAAAATATTCTAGAGGTTGGTGAACCTCCCAAAGTTTTGGGTTAGTGTTAAGATGCCCCTAGTTCTGTTAAAATCAAACTTTTTCAAAAACATTTTGTTATGATAATACTCCAAATGGTTTGCCAACTTCCCTTTTAAACAGTGAAAGAAAAAGAGCAGAAAGGAGAGAGAGAGAGAAAGAAAGGAAACAAAGAAAGAAAAATAAATCATTTATACGCGTGTGATAGCTGGAAAAATCCCAAAAGATAAAACACTTTTATGGAAAAAAGTTGCCTAATCCTGCAGAATAATAGCTATTCCTTTAATGCCCATGTAAAGCATTGTCATTGTAGATCTGAGAATGTAATGTTAGCAGAGTCCCTATGGTTACTTAATCTTAGAAGTTTCAGAATTTAGCTTCATCATGATAGTTAATAGTTTTTCTTCCCTGTCAGACTTCTATTGAGATACAACCATTTGTGTGCTAAGCACTACTAAACCACAGAAATCAGACAGCTTTTAATGTCTCAGTGTAGCTGAGCTTCAGAAAATAAATATTAATGCCGGTTTTGCCCCCTTTGCCATTCTGTCTTATTCCGAGTTAATTTCTGAAGTCATAGTCCGTGGAGAGTTTTCCTGTGCAGTATCCATTTGTACTGTCTGACAAGATCAATTTCTTGCAAGGAGAGCATATTAAGATGCAGCAACTGCGGAAAGTGGACTAGTGGTAACTAATTCCTTTGTTCTTAAGAAAAACGGTTTTGCTTGATTCCGTAGAAAGCTTTTTCTATTGAGCTTTATTTACACCAAGTCTATGAAAATTTATCCCAGTTTTGCAGAAAATAAAACTTAATTGCCTGTTTTCTAAGTGTAGTACTCTTTTGTAAGCATTTTACACTTAGTCTCTGTTCATATTTTGTAAAATCCACATTTGTAAATTTAAAGATGATAGTAAAAATGCAAGGAGCTATGTATATATCTCTCTTTTGCACTGGAAATGCGACTTGGTTGTGTGGCTAAATATTTCTGATATGCTTTTTTGGTTTTTATAGAGCTTGCTTCTTCTTGCGATTCTTTATTGATTCAGTAGACTCTAGTGTGTGGCTGAGAAACATTATGTCTTTCCTTTTCAGTGTATACCAGCTGAAAGAAAGAAACCCCACACAGGTAGCTCTTCATTTAGTCTTAAACATTTTGAATGGCATATTCTAAACAAACTTCAAAATTGAACATGAAAATCAGGCTACAAAGTAATGATGAAATAAGGCCAAGAAAATTTAAAAACTGGAGTAGAAATCTGTAGATCAAGCCTAAAGAAGAATAACCTATCCCTTTTTTGGTATTTTCCTTTATTGTCTAATTGAACTTAAAATGGAAAATCAAAATTCAGCATTTACTGAAGGACCTGGTTGGGAAGCATAACATCCACTTATTCGACAAATATTTATTGAGCACCTACTATCTTTTAAGAACACTGCTTGGCCTTGGCATAGGGATAAAATATGACTCAGATCCTCCCCTTAGGTTACTCACACTGTACTAAGGAGCCAGATCTATATATGCAATGATGATAGGTGTGATAATAGTGCAATGATGGGAGGAAGTGTTACCACAGGGGCACGTGGAAAGGAGAATTGTATCAGTCCTCACTGGAGGTGAAGGTGATAGCCAGGGAAAGCTTTCTGGAGGAGGACCTGTTGGGTAGTTACCTTGATGAGTGAGTTCATGAATACCAGTCCTCAAAGTGGAAAAAAGCGGGGCAAGTACCCCCGTTAGAAGGAACCATATATGCAAAGACATGAAGATGGGAGAGAACGTAAACTCTACAGTCAGGTTAAGGGTTTGGCCTGGAAAGAGGGTCAGGGACCGGAGGAAGGGCCCAGGGCTCTGGCTACTCTGAGAATGAGTTACTCTTGATGTGTTTCAAGCAGGGCTGTCAGCATGGCCGACTCGGGTGGGGACCCTGACAACAGTGTGGAGACTGAACTTGGAGAGTTAATGCAGAACCAGGAAGACCGGCCACTGCAGCCACAGGCCAGATCTGCCCCATGGTCTGTTTTTGTATGAGCCATGAGTTAAGAATGGTTTTTCTAGTTTTAAATGATTGGGGGAAAATACAAAAGAAAAATAATAGTTTGTGATACATAACAAATTATACATCCATAAATAAAGTTTTACTGGGCAGAACCATCATTATCCTTTACTATTATGTATGGAACTGCTGTGGCAGAATTGACCATGGCCCTCAAAGCCTAAAATATTTACTGTCTGTCCCTTTACAGAAGAAATTTACAACCCCTCAGTGAGGAGGCCATTAAATTCAAGTGAGAAGTCAAGAGAGCTTTAACTAGGATGGGTTCAGATGTGTATTTAAAGAAGGCAATTGAAGGGCACCGGGCAAATAGATTTTTTTAAGGATGAGATGGTTGGCAGGACCCCCCTTAGAATATAAGTACAGCAGTAGTACTGGGTTGTGACTGTGCCAGTAAAATGGAAAGGAAACAGCCTCTTCCAGAGGCACTTATGGTGACAAATAAGAGGCCAGAATTAAAGGTGGCTCCAAAGTTTCTAGCCTGTGTTAACTGAATGATCCACTAACCCAACTAGGGAACTTAAAAGCAGGGACAGAGGAAAATAACGTGTTTTCTTTTGCAACTCCAGTGGGAATGCCCAGTGTAGGTATAGTGTGAGGAGAAAAGTCTGGATGGTTTACATAAAGATATTGTAGCCAAAGAAGGGGAGAAACACCCAGAGAAGCCCATGTGTTTAAAGTAATATGGAAGAAGAGGCAACGAGGCTGAAATGGGGCTTCCAGTGTATAAGAAAAGAACAAAGAGTGAGTCAAAGAGGTTTTGGTGAAATAATTAAAACCGTACACTTTTCCTGGGGGGCCTGCAGGTAGCCTAGGGTTGAGGAAACTGAAATTTACTATCTTCCCCAGGCATTCTCTGTCTTTGCAGCTTTTGACTAATTGCTTAGTTCTTTGAACCTGCTTACTTGCCTAGAAAATGAGGTTAGACTCACTCGATGATTTCTGTTTCCTTCTAGCTCCAGTAGTCAATTATTCTAACTGATTTCTTTTTTTTTTTTAATTAAGATTTTATTGGGGAATTGGGGAAGGGGAACAGCATTGGGGAATTGGGGAAGGGGAACAGACAAGTTGCCGTCCTTTTGTTCTTCAGTCTAGTTGTGGAGGACGTCACGTCACTGGCCCATGTTGGTATTATCCTTGTGCTCTTCCCGGGTGAGGTAGATCAGTCACTGGCCACTGGATGGCCACTCACGGCAGCTCTTGGCAGCTCACGAAAGCTCACGCCAGCTGCCAGCCAGACCCACTGCAGCCTATGCTGTCGCCGGCGATTCTAGATCGAGCTGTTGTTCACTATCTTAGCTGTAGAGGGTGCAGCGTCACCTGCCCTCATGTGGTATCCGAACTGGGGCCCTGCTGCTCAGAGCTGGCATCCCAAGCCAACTCCTAACCAATGCGCCACTCGGCCGACCCCTAACAATGATTTAACACAATGCATTATTAAGCTTCTACTTCCAGACTTTAGCCATTTAAATTGCTTGCAGCATCCTCTGTTTAAGATGTTGCTTTAGTTTGAACTTCAGGGATGTTTAATGGAAAAGTCCTTCTACCCACCATTTACATTCATTGTACTTTAGGCTGATCACTCGTAAGGCTGATGAAAATAATCTCCTAACGTCCTTCCAATCTCTTACGCCAGCTGCTGCCAAGGGAACGTTCATAAGCTCTGCCTTGATTCTGTCACCTGCTCTGCAAACCTTCCATGGTGCCGTGCTGACTATCACAGAAGCCCAGACCACTCAGCACTGAGGGCTCCCTGAAGGCTCCCAGCCACCCGGTCTTATTTCCTCACCACCAATTTCATCCTCTGGCATGCTGATTTCCAGCTGGGTTGAAGCAGATGCAGCCCCCCTTGCCCTTTTGGACTTTTCTCCCCTTTTACTGTTCTCCACACCTAGAATACCCCTTTGACCTCTTCTAGCCCTACTGTAATCTTACCTCCTTTTCCAGCCTCCCTGAAATCCTGACGGCTCTCCTGTAGTCTCCCCGATGACCCCTGCTCCCTTTGAGACCTCCTGCCCGCTTAGAGCTGAGGGCACTTACTACACACTGAATGAAGGCCTCGAAACAGGAAAAATGAAACTGAAACAGATGCATTTTTAGGTAGTACCTGCTTTTCTTCTCTTCTGGAATGTCGCATGCTTCAAGTTGGGGGAAAGGTCTTATTAATATTGTATTTCTCAGAGTTCCTAGCTCAGTCCTTTGCAAGGAGTTGGGGCTCAAGAAATCATTATTATAGGAATGGTTAATATAATATATTGCAAGTTTATGGCTGTTCATTCAAAACCCAGTATTGAGATTATAGATGCTATAGATATAGATAGATATATAGATATAGATAGATATAGATGTAGATAGAAATATTGGTAAGATCAGTGAAAGATCCAGAAGGGAGATTCCAGATAACGCATTACAGGGACCGAGGGACAGGCAACTTCTTACTGACCTTGGTAGAATTTGGATGTAGGGAAATGGGAATGAGGGGTCTTCCGTGGGAACTTCCAGGGGGAAGTGGCATTTGGGAGGTGCACGTGTACACATGAGAGTAAGTGAAATACCTATCATTTAAATATCTACTCGTCAACATGCCCGTGTCTGAGGCTAAGAATATATTCATCTTAGGATGCTACACGTAGCAGCTCTTTAAAAAGGATCGTGGTTGCAGCTACAGGCAGTGGCCTTCATCCCTGGACCTCGCTGTGTTCCAGGCATGGAGCCGAGTGCCTTTCATTTTGTCTGCCCAGTAGCTCTGTAAGGTAGACTGTGTTTTCCCTGCTCTACAGCTGATGGAGCTAAGGCACAGAGAAGTCAAGTGACTCATTGGAGGTCACACAGCTGACATGTTAGGGAAGCCGATTTCGAATCCGGCAATCTGCCTACAAAGCCTCTGCTGTTATGCGTCAGGCTGTAATTCAGTGTGAATTAGAAGGGAAATGGATTCACGCAATTGTTCCCAAAAGACAGCTGAGAAAACCAGTAACATAAATTTATAATGGAAAGTGTTAGCTGCCCTCTTATACTGGGATATAAATATGGATAAGTGAACTGTGGTCTTTGCATGGGCTTTTCCTAAGAAACTGCCTTGTGGCTCATCATTTGCCTTGGTCATTTCACGGGTTCTTTTTTTCTTTTTTTTATTTTTATTTTATTGGGGAATTGGGGAGGGAACAGCGTTGGGGAATCAGGGAAGGGGAACAGACAAGTTGCTGTCCTTTTGTTCTTCAGTCTAGTTGTGGAGGACGTTGCTTCACTGGCCCATGTTGGTATTGTGATCATTGTGCTCTTCTCGGCAGAGGCAGATCGGTCACCAGCTACTGGATGGCCGCTCACGCTGGCTGCCGGCCACTCACGGTAGCTCATGGCAGCCCACTGCAGCAGGGGCTGCAGCCTATGCCATCGCCAGGGACTCACAGCAGCCCAGCTCCAGGTCGAGCTGTTGTTCACCATCTTAGCTGTAGAGGGCACAGTGTCACTGGCCCTAATGTGGGATCCAAACCAGAGGCCCCACCACTCAGAGCTCGCGCCCCCAAGCCAACTCTTAACCAACGGGCCACTTGGCTGGCCCCATGGGTTCTAATACAGCTCTCATTCTCCTTACTATCTTCATTTCCACAAGGAAAGAGAGGCTTTTATGAAAAAGTGGAAATTCCCTCACATGCTATTTGTTTTTGATCTGCCCAAACATCTTTAAAGCGCTACAGGGTTTAAATCCCTCTGACAAGACTACCATTTGGGCCGATCATTTCATGATGTGGCATCAAAACAGCCATTTCTGGATGTCTCTGTGGTTGTTATTAACTCCTCCATACCTACTGTACATCTATCAACACACATTCCTTTGAAGCACAATCCTGCATCTTTTTCTCAGCTCTAATGTGGGGGAGAATTACTAGAGGAAGCCTTCTGTTTATTTTCCAGAGAATTTAGAAATTGAATTGCACGAAGTGTCAAAGGGAGCCCGACCTGCCATTAAACCTGTAGGCTCCAGCTTATATTAGCAGGGCTCCCTTTCAAATTTTTATTTCCCGTTTTACATAATGTTTTCAAAGACTTTCTCAGAGCAGGACTCTAAGCGAGGTCCATAGCATGAGTCGTATGCTCTGACCTACGTTGGTGATGCAAATGGGAATATCTGACCTATGACTCAGGGAGATAGCAACTTGAATATAGTATTTCTATCTTTCTGAAAGTGCGAAAGCGTATAAAAGAGGCGTCCCGAGGTTGTCCTGTTATGATGGGTGGCTTACTTGGGGAGAGGTCATTAAGGCTGCTTTTCCAGAGCATTCAGCTCCCACATAATCACTTTCGTAAAAGCTTTCTTGAATTTAGTTGCCTGACCTCTGAGATTGCAGTGTCAGTCAGGACTCTTTGGTTGAAGTAACAGAAACCTGAAAAGGGGAAACTGATCCGATTGATGACCAGATCGTGCGAAATGCAGGCCCAGCTGGCCTCGGATTTCTTGGAGCAGGGACTCAAGGCAGCACCCGTGGACTGTCATTTCTGTCATTTGCAGGGCTTGACTTCTGTCTGAATGTTGCCTCGTTCTTTCAGGCTCCTCCACCCTGTGGAGTCACATCCTTCAGTCTGAACTGAAAGTAAAGGAGATGCCCTTGACTTCAAACTGTAAGAATGTGACTTGCTAGCTCCTCCACTTCCAGGTTCAAAACCTTCAGTTCACATGTCAAAGCTGAGTGCGTGCACACACATGCTTCGGGGGGCAGGGGGTGGCAGCCTCCACAGAGCCCCAGGAGTAAGGGAAGAGAGTTGCACTAAGAGGGGAGGCGATCTTACTGGGGGACGGGTGCCAGGGATCCTGGGTAAATGACACAACAGGTGCCTCCTCTACTGTCTTTTTATAAACGCAATCCCCAATTTCCCTTTGACGAAGGAATGGTTTGGAGTGGAGAGGGGAAACAAGAGGACATCTCTGCCCGTGTTGGTTTGAGAGCGATCTTCTCCACTGGCAACATGTTGTAAGCCCAAGGAGGCATGGTCACATCTGCACCGGGTCACTTTGTGGTTTTACTTAGAGAACCCTCAGAATAGAAAAAAGAGAGGTGGAAAGGGTGCCTAAATAAACGTGCAGCATGTGCCATGCCCTGTGCCCGGCTTCCTACAACACTGCTCCATGGTGGGCTGCATGTTACAAGTCTGCAACAAGATAAGCGCAAGAATTGAGTGTTGAGGGAAACTTACATCAATTTTAAATCGCCACAATATCCATGTGCATGATCAGCAGGCTATTTGGGGTATCTTTTCACTTTTTTTCAGTCATTCATTTTTTAAATGTATTTTTCAATTACAGTTGACATACAATATTATATTAGTTTCAGGTGTACAACACAGTGATGAGACATTTATGTAACTTACAAGGTGATCCTCCCAATAAGTCTAGTACCCACCTGACACCATATAGAGTTACTACATTATTGACTTTTGATTTAATTTTATAAAACCAAAGCTTTGCCTAGGATTAGAAAAATTTAAATATATATATACATGTATATGTATATTTTTTTTACACAAGACGTTTGAGACACGCTGCCATACCCAAGTCCGAGGACACAGAGTCTGAGAAAGGAGAACATGAAGCCACACCGCCGGAAGGGGGAAGGACAGCGCGGAGGAGGCAGGCTTTGAACTGGCTCCATCGGACTCCAGAGCCTGTGCTTGAAACGCATATTCACCAATAAGCACAAAAACGTATTTCAGAGCTGAACAGAAACCTTGTTATGGTTGTAAAAGCCCAGGTCACGGCCTGGGATCAGGCCTCTTCCATCTCTGTGTCTCCAGCACCATGTCTGGCATCAGGCGAAGTGGAGCGGGTTCTCTGTAAATGCAGAATCAGTTTGCCTCTCCTCTTTATTGTTCGGGAAAATTAAGAAGGAACCACACTCATCGTCACGTGACACCCAGCTTATAGGTCGGAAGACCAAGCTTCCCGTCCCTCTTCGTTTGAAGAGGACAGTGTGACATTGACACATTCTTCCTATTCCACAGTGAACTTGGTCTTTTTTTCTACTCCCGAGTTTCTTGAAGAATTTTTAGTCGAAAGTTTCCATTTAAAAGTTAAGCTCATTTTTTTTCTTGTGCTCCTTTCATGAATAAATTAGGCAGAGAACATGTCAAAAATAATTTTAAATGGATGTATGTGTAACCAACATCAGGTCTCAAAATAGATGGCCTTGGTGCTGTTTTAAATCGTGTCCTCTTTTCCTTCCCTCACCCAGTATCAGAGCGCACAGGCTGCCAGGGAGCCCGGAGAGAAAAGGCATTTCGTTTTGCCCTGGTGGATGCCACGTGGCCTGAGCCCGCTCTGCTCCACCTGTTTGACGGGCTAAGAACCCTGGTCTCCTGGTCTCCGTGAGGCCTGAGCCAGGAGAGGTTAGAGTCCCAGGCTGCTGCGGAGTGTGCCTCTGCAGGTTCTGCTTACCGTTCCCTGGCTCACTCCTCTGAGTTCTGGGAAGCCCACATGTGTGTGCAATGAAAGCCTATGCTGGGGACAAACTCGTCTCCCCTGCCACCCAGGCCCACAGCCTGGAGCATGGTGGTGGCAGCAGCCAACTCATTTGCTCAAGAAGCCCAGAGGAAACAGAAAGAATCGCCCACCCCACTTGCCCGCTCAACAACAATGAACATCACGTTCAGTGAAAATAGGAGAAAACAAAAACCCATAGACTTGTAATCCTGGTAGCCCTAAGAAGGGATATTTTCTAAAAGAAAGTTCTGTTCTCCAATATCAATTTAGGGTAAGGGAAGTACGAAAAGAAATTCATCAGCTGGATGTTTAATTTCCTCTTACACACCTCTTCCTAAAGGGATGTGTGGATTAGACCAATCGTTAGGCGTTACTCATTTGTTATTTACAGTTTCCCCGATACCTGCAGGTACATTATACAATGACTCATTGGTGGATAAATCCTGGGTTAAAGCTGAAGGATTCTGGGAAAAGTAGAGGCTTGGAGATTCTCCAGTCCCCTCAGTGGCCATCTTGGACACTGTTCCTGGGTGACCAGGGCCCAATTCTAGTAAACACATTTGTATTAAGCTCCTTAATGTGTTAGAGTGGCTGAGCAGAGAATATAGTTCCCTGAACTCAGGAACTCAGAGTGGGCACCAAATGGGTCAGAAAACATTTGCAAGTGGCCCGAAAAGCCAGTGTCCAGCTGAGGGGAAGACCACCCCACCTTGGCTCTGCACAACCTCTCCGCAGCTGGCCTGGGTCACCTGAGGGAGGGTGGGGAGAAACAGGCAGAGCATCACAGAGATTCCTCCAGCGAGGACACTGGTGTCTAAGTGACGCGTCCCTCTGACACCTACGTTGTGTCAATCTCCAAGAAGCCTCATTCTCACCAGGAGATTTGTCAAAAGAATGCACCCTGTGTTGAGGGAGTCTTTGTTATAAATATAACCACACCAACAAAGGAAGTATATAAAATAAAGTAGCAAGTCACTGTTGGAATACAGACAAAGTGTGGAGGTAGGGGGTGTTCAAGATGAGGCACCCGAAGTGGCTTTTGGCAGTTATTCGAGATTTGCTTGTGTTCTGGTAACTGATCTGCGGTGTGGTTCAGCAGATGGGGCATCACTTGATCTTGACACTGGTCCTACTTGTGTTTCTGGTCATCTTCTGTCACCTTGGGAACAATCCCCTACCGCACTTTCTGTCCTACAGACCTGAACTGTGATTTTCTGAGGGAATGTACGAGAATGAAAATCAATGATACTCATTCAGGTTTCTGTGAGCCTGAGGCGTTGCCCATCTCTCCAGGGCCTCTAATGCTTTGAATATGAATTCACGTAAAATAAGTAGCAGTTAAATGCAATGCTCGACCTAGAAAACTCCAGGGCAGTTGAGGCACAAGCAGCACTCAAGTCCTTTTTGCCAAGGTGGCGGTGTTGACAGATGAGGGATGCAAAGGGAGTACATTGTTAAATAGATAACTCCCTATTGTCTAACTCTCCAGTGCCCCCTTTGTCTTTAGAGGAAGGCCACTTGCCATTTTGGATATTAACTGTTTGTCAAACAAGAGCTCATGGAATCAGCTCTGCTTTGTGGTGCTGATGACAGTTCTTAACCCATTTCTGAAGTGAGGCATTTATTCAGAATCATTCACTATTGAATTAGTCAACAGCATCTGAGTTGAGGAAAGATGGTAATGATATTAAGGAATAATAAAAGTCTTCTATAGGGGAAATAGACCCTATGTCAGAACTACAGAAGAACCCCAGTCCTACACTCAGGCTGACTTGCACAAAGAGATTATCTGTTAAAAGTGGGAGAAAACAGGAGACAACTCGTGTAACTAATAAACTTTTTAGATGCTGTTTCATATGTTTGCTTTTCATTAAATTCAGGAATGGTTGCAACTATGTTGTTGTGATTCAGTCAACATTTATTCCTATCTGTTTTTCATATACAAAGGCTTAGGGGTGCCAGAAAATAAACTGTTAACGGAGAATTAACTTCTTTGGCATGCTTTCATACTTATCTTCCAAATTAAAGAAAATGAAATGGGCAGAAACACAGTGTAGATTACCTCCTTTTTGTCAAAAATGGTGGGAATTTGAAAATTAATAATAAAAAAGGGAACAGATGCAGTAACATGCCAGAGGGAGATTAATGTGGAGAGTAAAATCTGTGAGCAACAAAACTGAAGCAAACTGAATCAGTGGGAGGTGGTTGTACAATCAAAATCAGGATAAAAGAGAAATTACAAACAACCCTGCACTTGTCAAAGTAGTAGTAATGAAATCCTGACTCTGCCAGCAGTGAGAACCTGTGTTAGCACTTTGGGGTAAGGATGGTAGCCGGGTGCCAGGTAGGAGGGCAGTGTTAGGTTGCTGGGCAGCAGCCATCTTGTGTAGAACAGATGGCACCGAAAGCTGGCAGGGGAGGGGCTCCTTAGCAGAACTAATCAGACAGTAACAGATAGGGCAGCTGGGAAGACTGACCACAGAGAGGGAGTCTGCGGGGTAGCCGCGTGCCATGATGTTTGCAGTGGTGTGCCCATTGGTCTGAGATAAGACCTTGCAATGTCTTTCCCGTCTTCAGGAGAACTGAAACTTTTGTTCAGAGAGAAAAATGGAGTTGCATTGTATCACGGTGGAGAGTGGGGGTGGGCTTCAGGGCAGAGAGGCTGAGAAAGGAAGACATGTCCCCCTCGGAATTTGTGGCGTGCCTTTTCAATCCCAGCTTCCACGGAACTTTGATGTTTGCCGTTTGGGTGGCTCTGCCGTCTTAATGTGTAGAGTGTGGACGTACAATGATCACTTTATATATTTTACACACCGAAGATTTTGCAGCATCAAGGCTACAGTTAAAATTAGAAAAGACATTTTGATATGATTTCTACCCCATATGCCTTTCACAAATGAAAACCACAAAACAACCATCAGAGACATGCATTTATGCTTAATCATGTCTCCTAACCGATTTAAGCCATGTTTGATTCAGACCCAGTCACCCTTCTTTTTTTCCCTGTGTAACTGTGGAGTGAACATCAAAGTGTTAGGCAGAATTCAGAGCACAGAACCTTAAAACAAAAGTTAAGTCATTCTGAAGGAAAGGGAAGCAAAAAACTGACCTGTTAAATTTAATAACTTATTTAAGGAGCCATGTGGTTTGCTTTTTTTTTTAAATATAGAATTGGGACATTCATGCTAAAACTATTACTTTAACAAAGCAATCCAGATCTCCTACATCTGTTTTTGAACTAGTGTATTTCTTTTTTTGCAGAAGGTTTGTAGCTTGGCTCAATTTATTCGTTTTGGAGGGGGAGGGGGAACATTACCAGGATTTGAAATAGGTGGTATAACATAGCCATATGCTATTTATGCAGCAGTTTTTGCAATAAATCTAATTTGGTGCTGTCAAAAAATTAGACTTATTTGATATAGCAGCACATTAGTAAATGATTGTGGCAGATTTAAAGTTGTCATTTAGTCTCTTCCTACTCTTAACAGAATTTTGCAAATCCTTCCCCCCCTTCCCCCCCCCCATCAACTCTGGGAAAATGTCTCAGTTCTTTGTCCTGCAGTCCTGCAAATATTTCCACATCTGAAAGAAGGTCTTGCGTTAAGGTAATTGAGGAAGGGGGTGGAAGAATGAATATCCTGTTGTTTAAAAGACTTCGTGAATATATAGGCAGAAAAATCCATAAACCAGAGAAAACTAATTGTATTTTCATTGCTTAGAAAAGCAGAACTGTTAGTCTCGTTCAGAATGTAGATAAATGAAGGTCCGTTCTTTATTAAGGAGTTTAAATATTTTACCTTCCGTCCTACGTCCATATGCTGTTTTAGGAAAACTGATATTCGAGAACGTGAACGACATCAGCTCTTGTGTTCACCTAGCAGCGCCCTTAGAAACGGCTTTTCAGTTCTCTGGTGCAACCTGGCAACATTGCTTCAGCGCCTCTGTCTTTTTTCTGTAAAATTTATGTTTCAGGTGTTGGTATCAAACTATCCAAAACTTTTTCCTGCCTTTCTATTTAAAAGATAAAATAAGCATATTACACATTAGGCTGATAAATATAAACAGTAGTCTCTGAATTCCTTAAATTAGTCCATTTGTAAAAATAATCATAGCACCATTTCCCTATTCTTTTTCATACGTATTTGTGGAGGGGAAAAATGTGTGTGTGTGTGGTGTATGTGTATGCACATTTCATGCATCTGTGTGTGACTGTAAGTGATGTTAAACTGAGTGGTTTTTTAATTTATGTTCTTATCATACAAATTTTCCAAAACAAGCCTACCAGTATGTTTTTGAAACGCAATTTGCTAAGAATGAAGAGTTCCTTCACGGTGATTTAAGCAGCTTCTATTAAACTAGCAATTCGCTAATACTTCTCTCTTTTTTCTAGCAAATTAGACCATGGAAGTGATCAAATTACCAGTATTCTTTCCATGCTATTCAGAAGCAGGGATCCAGGTAACCAAACTACCATCAAGCACAGATTACACAAAGGGAAAAAATGCCCAGGAAAGTATTAACAAACTTTCTGGGTAAATTGGATACTGTTTCTGAAATTTACTCCACATGAAGAGAAATTATTTAGAAATTATGTTTTAGGAAGATGAAAGAGAAAGCACATCTTAGAATTCTTATTTTGTGTTCAAAATCCCTATGTTAAATTACATTATATATATTACATAAGAATGATTTATAGGACATAGGGTATTTTGGAGATGAGTAATAAAATTGAAATTGAGTTAAAAAAGAATGTCTCTGCTCTTGAATTTTAAGCTTTCTTGTTTTTTTTGTTTTTGCTTTTATATAGCATCACAATAATTTTTAAAAACACATCTGACAAACTCTTCTGATAAAATATTTTTTATAAATTTTAAATTTTTAATCAATCAAAACCTTAAGAGTCCAATTTTAAATTACATGGGTTTAGATTGCTTTTATTAATAAAACCTGCTATGAATTTTATGTCAATGAAAAAAGCTTGAATTTTTATCTTTTTAAAAAGAATTTAGAAAATTTTATAAATTTGATTGGTTTTACTTAATAAAAGCATATGCAATGAAATTAAACCTTGAGATACTTCTTCAAAATATAAAAGCAATGTTATGAATATAGGTTCACATTTTTCTTCACATTTGCTCCGGTTAAAATTTTTGCCACATATTTTCTCCTATAAAGTGATCTCCCTTTTTCTTATAAGAATTTTGAATTGAGTCATTGGTTTGCCTTTCCCCTAAAGAATCTGATTGCCTAAAATACTGGTAAATAATTCAAAATAAAGTGATTTTATGTCCGATTCATGAAGGGAGGGTGAGTACTCGATAACTGTAGATGACACAGAATAAATTCAATCGAGAGCATAATTTTCACTTAATTTCTAGGAATTTACTTTTTTTCACAAAACTGACCTCTTAATACAATTTACATTTTATTAGATAGATGATGTGTTTGTTTTGCAGCATATATTTGAATATTACTTAAGCAGAACTGTTTATTTTTTTAATGATGGAATTTCAAATATACATGAATTGATCTATATATTATGGGTTAAGTTTTTCAAAGCAGTAATGGAGCTGTGTGTTAATATGTAGCTTATAATTGAAATGGTACATATTTGTACATTTTAAGCATTTCAGTGCAAAATTTCTTCATTGGACTACTCTTTTCCTTGGCTAATTCATTAGTGAAAATATTTATGCCTCAAGTTAATGCTATATAGGATGAGGCAATTTTTACATAGTGTAAGCTTGTTTATGATATTTTGATTTCACTTTAAAACTTTTATTTTGCTTTTTATACATCTAGTTCATACTCGATATAATAAGAAGTGCAGACACACATGAAGGAAATACATATCAGCTGTCTGGGTTTACAAATGATCATTAAAACACCCCGTCTTCCTCCTTTGACTCCAAATGATTGTCTCCCCGAACCCAAAAGTAATTTTCACAAGTACAGCACACAACAGAACTTCATCTTCTGCTGGTTAGCAGCAGAGGATTTAAATCTATGCCGACAGTTCATTTGACAATGACCTTGAGGGGCTTTGCTTCTTGAAGAAGAAAGCAGAAGCTTGCGGTAAACAAAGTTCACTTCTGACAGATGGATTGAATGACAGAAAGGTTGCGAGTGCCAGAATAGCCCTGGCAGAGGAGGAAATGTTCACTGGAATCCAACAGGAGAGGAGGTGTGAACAGGTGCAGGGTTGCTGACGGAAGGGGAACCAGATGGAAGGAGCCAGAGCCAGTTTATTTAAAGGAAAAGGCAGAAAACATTGAAAGGCTGTGCGATCAGTGGCTAAAAGTGTTCGCAGAGGAAGGTAAAAATTCACAAAGCAAAACTGCACAGTGGGGTAGCTCACACTTAGCATAATGGTAGTAATTTGTGAGTTTAGTTTGGAAGTTGCAGTTGAAATACATTTGTCTTGGCTCTTGACACCATCAAGTGTAGACACTTGAAAGTTGTTTATTTTTTTTAAGTTTCTAAGCTTTTTTATCCATCCATTAATTTAATTCTTTCCAGCCAGAAGCTCCATTGTGATAATACTAAAATTGTGTCATCCTCTAGGAAAAGGAAAAAAAAATTGAAGTGAAGGTTGAGATTCCATTCACATTTATCTCGTGACGCCTCAGCTTTGTTCATATATGGGAAGCAAATGCATGCATTGCTGGGTGACATCTGTAATAGCTAAGAAATCTGCAATGTTAGAATACATGCTGTTGGCTGCTTTTGTTGTTTCGAGTCTCTGTTCACTTGGTGAAGTCCACTTTGTTCGTGGTGGTTGGAATCATGCACTCTAAGATAGACATGCGCCTGCCATGGTCTGCAGGTGACTTTCCGCTACTGAGGTCGCCCTGATTTCCACTGACATTCAGTGACCTGCCTTCAGGCAGACACCTGCAAACTCCAGTGTCACTGACAATAGGAACAGCAGACAGTGGCGCAGGAAGGAAGACTTTCTTATTTCCTTAGACCGATTAAAATCAA